TTGACTATTAAATTATTGTCACTTTACAATCCTACTAAAGACTTTAAAATCTTGTCCACCATCATCTCAAATTTCTTGGTTGTTTTTTCAAGATTTTGGAAATTGTTCTGATTTATATTAATCTTGCGCTCATATCATTGAACTCTTCATTGAACATCTCAAAAACATCTATGAAATATTTTCTATTATTTTGCCTACTATATTTGTTCATAACTTGTAACCCTACTCTTATTTTTTTGGTGTTTTCCTTTTCTTTCTTATTTTGATGAAATATTTGAGATCAATTTAGGTCCAATGACAAGACTTTATTTTATATTTTGTTGTAGTTATTATTTTTTCTAATCATGATATTTTTAAAATTTAGCTATTTATTTCTTTAATTTAATTTTTACCTGGTGCCATTAACTTTTTATTATTACAATAAAAATTTGACATCTAGATAAATTTTTAAATGTGATATTAGTCATCATGTAAAAAAAAAAACCCCAAACCCTTGTGGTTCTTTCTCAAAAAAATCTAGTTCATAAGTCTATAAGAAATCATTTGCCCCAAATTTTTCTTTTTTTTTTTGCACAATTTTAAAAAAACTACATTAATCCTTAATTAATATTGTTTTACAAATATGTCCTAAAATTGAAATTCTATTAGTCACATTCAACCTTTGATATTTGATTCATTATAATTATACTTTTTAATATGTTTTGACATGGATTCCTTGATTTTATAATAATTTCACACTCTGTGTCTCAAGTTTTACAAGTTAACTATTATTATCCTGCTTCAAACCAATATGCCACAATTTAAGTATTTTAAAAGTGTTTTAGTCACTATACATTAATTTTTGGTAGCATGATGTAGGCTATAAAACTAGTTTCATTATTATTTTGAGATAGAAAAAAAAACACAATTAAAAAATAAAAAAATATAACAGAACTTAAGGTAAAAAAGAGTTATGATTGATAGTGGTACAAAACAAAGACTAAATATCTCTATATTCTACTTGATTGAGTATGACTGATATAATAAATTACAAGAAATTTTTTTTCTTACGCTTAATTTGTATTACCATGAATCTTCTTGAAACAATAAATAAAAATCATTATTTTTATTTTAGTTTATAATAAACTTTATTTTTTAAAATTAACTTAAAATGATAATCTCTCCCTTAATCAAAATCACATTAATATTTTTTTGTAATCATTGTAAAAAAAATTCATTGCTAAGAAGATAAAATAATCAAATTATGATTTACTTAGTCATCATATCATTTCAATAAATAAAATAAATAATTAAATAATTATTTATCAAATAAAATACTTATCTAACGTTATTTAAAATACAAGATAATAATAATAATTTCATCGCAAATGCACATTTTTAATTATCATTCACTCTTCATCTCTTCATCATTAAATCTAATTTCTTCAAGGGCAAAACCAATTTTCATATCTACATTATATATGTTTTAATTATTACATTAATTTTTTGATAATGTTATAAAACTCACTCGATTGATTACGAAAAGTTATAATACTGTTTAATAAAAACCAAGTTTGATTAATTAATTTTATTCAATTTATTAGAAAATTAATTTACTTTAATTCATTCATTTTTTAATTATTATAAATTATTAAATTGTTCAAAATAATTTATAAATTAGTTTAAGATATTTATTTTTTCCTATTAATTCGATGAAATGAAAAAACCAAAATTTTTAAACAATTACATTCTTAAAAAGTACTTTTAAGATTAAAATTAACATGCACGGTGTGCATGTCTAATAAAACACATTTGAAGATTAATAAAATAAAAAAAAATGAAATTATAAAATAATTAAAGGAATATTTGTGGAAAAAAAAACACTAAATTGGTTGTGTCTCCGTCTCCCTCGCTCCTTTCCTCCTTTTTAGAAGGATGGAATATTAATAAAATAGTTGTCTGCATCTCCGCAACCAAAAACATTTCTTTCTTAATTATCTCCCTCTCTTTTATCCAAATGCTTCTTTTTAAAAAATTTGCGCATGGAAAAAAACACTAAATTGGTTGTGTCTCCGTCTCCCTCGCTCCTTTCCTCCTTTTTAGAAGGATGGAATATTAATAAAATAGTTGTCTGCATCTCCGCAACCAAAAACATTTCTTTCTCAATTATCTCCCTCTCTTTTATCTAAAGGCTTCTTTTTAAAAGGAGCAAGGAGTGTAGACAAATTTTGGAAGGTCAAGGAGCTCATGAATTTGTTCAAAAGTTTCAAAATCAGTACAAAAGCATCGAGAATAGCGAATGAAAGGCATATGCACGTGCTATGCCTGCTACATGCACTACAAGGGAGGTCGGCAGGCAGCACAATACAGAAGTGCTAGCTAACCCGGTATCAATGAATGCAGTCCAAATTGTATGGATCTAAGCAGCCTACAATTCTTCACTGATGAACTAGCAACAAGTATCAGAAATGCAAATATGGAATGATAAAATTATTCTCAGTTGGAGCAATAAAGATTCAGTAACAAATAATTCACATAAGAATAAGTAATTTTCATCTCTACCTAACTGCTCATTTCAAACAAAACATTAGCACAAAATAACAAAGCCGTATCTCACATTACCAAGAACTGCACTTATACTGCTAACAACTGCACTTGCCTTGTAAGTTGCATTTGTTTCTCTTAGTTGCCTACTCAACAATAGTACTTCATGGTTCAATCACGAATAGAGGCTGCAAGGGACCATTTAAAGAAGGCATAAACTAAAATGCAACGAATGAATCCACAGTACTTTTCTTTCTTTCTTTATTATTTTTTTCTTGAAAGAGTTTGCTAAGGAAACTTACTGTATCAACACTGACTGGCTTGCCATCTTCAGCAAGGATCTCCACTATGGTTCCCGTTTGGTCTGCCTGAAGGGCAGATTATAATGCAGTAGAATTAGGTAGAGATGTCAAAAAGAACAGAAATGAGGAAACTGGTTTCCAAATCACTATCACTAGAATAAATCATGATATCCATAAATAATGATTAGTGACATTAAGAGCAGGAGAGATCATTTCTTTTCGTTTTTCTTCTCTTCTCAGAGAGGATGGCAGGGAAGAAGCTGTAGTTTGCAAAAGGATAAGTTAGAAAGAAATTAGAGGCATGGAAACACATCAATGGACAGCCTCTGAAATTCTTATAGATGAAGATGTATCATGCCACTGGGGGACAGTTAATGGAGTACAACTTGAAACTCAAATAGTAAAATTAAACACTCTTCAATCCCATGGAACCCTTGTATGCATCATCACCTATCCAAAGCTATCCCACATAGAATATCATTATGCTTTTGAACAGGTATCATCAGATTTCCTGATTCAACCAGGGCATATGATGCTGGATAATAGCATGTCCAAATTACTTGTAATTTTATTAATCAGGTAATTCTATCAGTTTTTTCGAAAGTTTTCTTATTTGCATTTTTAAGGGTTTGGCTGCAGTGCACTTGTTCTTAAATACAAATGTACCTCCAAGCCATCAGATGTGATTTCCAAAAGCAAACTAAGAATTGATTTGGGGTGAGTTTCACAGCTAGGACAAATAATAAACTAAGAATTGATTTGGGGTGAGTTTCAAAATCATTCACAGCTAGGACAAATAATCATGCTTGAGAACATCCACTCCTTATTCTTTTCCTTATTAGTATTAGAATGTTTATTTTGTTGAAATTATAGTTCTTATTCTGGTAGGAAAGATTATGATTTTGGTATGCCTACAACACTTTATTTTATGTATTACATAGTTGTTTGATGAATAAAAATTCAAGTTTCAGAATCTTCATGTCAATTTTAAGAGATTCAGAAAGCTCTTTTGTAGAATTGAAAGATTTGGCCTGTTAGATTCTAGGTTTTCTATCATTCCCCCTCAATTTCTTGTAGCCATTCTACATCAATACAAAGAAAGCAAAGGACAAGCCAGCATATGATCGACAGAAGTATTATAAGTATCTCCTATAGAGACTAAATGCAGAAGAAATATAAAACTTACCTCTATTTCGTTCATCAATTTCATGGCTTCAATAATGCATACAACCTGCCCCTTCTGCACTTTGTCTCCAACCTGTATTAAAAGGAATCAACACCAAAAAGAGCACCAATATAGACAACATATCAATTATACAGGAAGCATTGTTCAAATAAAACGCAACAGCTAAGTACAGATAACACACCTTTACAAATGACGGTTCACCAGGTGCAGGGCTTCTGTAAAATGTGCCAGCCATAGGGCATTTGAGTGGTGGAAGAGAGGACTTGACTGATTTGGAAGAAGGAGATGGTGATATGGCAGAAGGTGATGGACTAGAAGCTGCGGCAGGAGCTGCAGCAGAAGCTGCAGGTGTGGCTGCTGGCATTACTGGTGCAGGTGGAGGTGGAGGTGAATGCATCATAACAACTTAGGAGCTGCAGCAGAAGCTGCAGGTGTGGCAGCTGGCATTACTGGTGGAGGTGAATGCATTGTAACAACTGGAGAATGGGATGGTGGCAAAGGCAAAGCCTCCTTTTTTCTGATTAAAAGTTCACAGTCCAGTTGTTTCAACTGCAGTTCCACAATATCTCTTGAATCAACAAGCCTGAATTGAAGATGAAAAACATATATGTTATCATATACAATAAAACAAGGATTATATGCATCATTATAATGTTGAGGACACTCACTTCACAAGACTTGAAACTTGGGAAATAAATTCAGAGATTGACTCCTCTGTAGCCAAAGAGGGAGGTGAAGGTTCATTTGATGGCTTAGCATCCTTTGATTCCTGCAATGTTACTTCAGATTTGGCAAGAGTTGAGGCTGCAGCATTTGAGGATCCATCCACAGCAACCTTGAAGGCAACAGATGATCCCAAAAGCTTGTCCAGAAAGGAACAAAAATTTGAAAACAGATCCTCTAAAGAAAACCATTGAAAGAAGCTTACCTCATTCAATTGAGCTTTCACCAAATATGTACCATTACGAGTAGGCTGCAAACCCTACAACGTAGTGGAAACTAGTTTCATTCTCTCAATACTACATCTCTATATCAAAGTTTAGAATGCAGCGAGTAGTTTCAGATTTCAGTAAGAGGGCCTCTGGACTCAACAAAACATAATGCACCTAACCCAAACATGGTGACTATATATAGTCGCTACCCAAGCTCACTTGAAAGTTTATAGTGATGATGAAAGCTAGACACTTCCCATCTATTAAAGCTTATATCGATCAAATAGTCCCTATTCAAGTTTGCTTGAAAGTTACTCCAGCCACATTGTGAGTTTGTAAATTAATCTGTGCCCTCTCAAGTGTTTTACGTCGAAAGTGAAAGGAAGGAAACCATTGTCTGAATCAAAATTCCAAACTGACCAAGGCTTTGCATAATTTTCTATTTTTAACAATCTGAGGCATATAAAACACATGCAAGAGATAGTTTGTACCATGATTTTGCTCTAAAGTCTGATGAAATGTAACTAAAGGTTAATAATGTAATGTAATATTTTAATTTGCAAGCTGAAAACAATGAATTTTTTTTTTGTCCTCTGGCATAGTTTAACTGGTAGTTGCACCTACATCAAAAGAGGAGGTTACAAGTGTGAGTCTTACCTCCACAAATTATCCAGGAAAAAAAAAAACATCAGGAGGTTACAAGTGTGAGTCTTACCTCCACCAAATTATCCAAAAAAAAAAAAAAAAACATCTAAGTACCCAAAACTAATGTATTCATACCATTACAGGCTATAGGTGGAAGCCTAGAAACGATTTCCAAACCTTGGTTAAATCAAAGGGATACTCTTTCTCTTGAATGGGAAATCCAGCTAACAAACAAAAAGGTAGATGTTTGACGCAAGTTATCCATATTTACCTACAATGTCGATGCTCTTATGCTAGTGACAAAATGTGGACAGTGATATGAATCTATCATTTATTTAAATAAATTACATGCATTTGACCAAGATTTGCTTCCCACGTTATCATTTGGAGTTCAAATCTTTGGGGAGACCGCAAGAAAATAATTTCTTGTGAATGCGAGTCTGAGTGTGGATGACCACCTTAAGATCCAACGGAGGAGAAGCTAAGTCTCAGTGCACAAAGAAGTCCCAAGGATACCGTTACTGCTAAAACCACGGAATGAATAGCAAGTTCACTCCTTGATATCTTTAAAGCATCTACTGTTTATATTCTATACGAACTGATAACTGACAAGATCAACCCACTGCAAGTTCATAGTAATCTATTTGATTTGGACGATGTAGTGAGATGAAGGTGCAAAAGTCTAAGAATCTTGAAAACAACAATCCATTCATCAATGGGTTATCTATGAAACAAAAATCAAGAACTACAGAATAAATAAATCATAAAACAAAATATAGAATTAAATTCGAAATTTATTTCAGTCACTCAAAATTAACTTGGCATCAAAACAATTTTCTTTTAAGAATCCCAACCACTTCACTTTCTACATTTTCAGCAGTAATTAGGCTAACCCCAGAAGCCCAAATTGCAAAATGGTAGGAAAAAGAGTAGTAGAAGAAGATGATGAAGAAAAAGGAGAAAGAATTGAGAGAGGATTTATATCACCTTAGCAAGAAATCGGAGCTTTGGTTTCTGAGAGAGCCGAAACAACTGGGTGGATAACCTGTGAGTGTTGTAGTGAGGCAAAATGGCTGCGCTTTTGGTCACCATAGAAGCAGAAGCTGTGGTTGATAGTGAAGAAGCCATTGCTTGCTTTTGCTTTTGCCTTGCTTAGAGAGAGAGACCAGTGATTCAAGTTGGAGACAGACAAAGATAGCTTATTACGATATGTATTTTGGGGAGACCGACAAATGAGTCGTGGGTCTGGGGGCAGGAGTGGGAGGAGAGGGTGAGGAAGCAGAAGAAGAATGATGAGAGAAGACGCGCAAAAAGGCCCAGTCGATGAAACCAATGACGAAGAGAGCAAAGTCACAATTGAGAGTTTGTTTGTAGTTCGCTGTTAGGTTACAGGGCATAAATTTTATGAACATAAAAAAAAATATATACGTTGCAGAAAAGTTTTCCTATTATTATTTGATCGTGATTGATATTATAATTAAAAAAAATGTTTTGGTGAAAAATTATTTTTTTATTTAAAATTAATATTTTTAAATTATTTTAATATACTATATCAAAAATAAATTTTAAAAAATAAAAAATATTTTAAAAATTAATGTTACTACAATCTTGTATAAGTTGTTAAACTTAGTTTAATATTATAATTTAAAAATTTTTCAATTTAAATTATTATTTAATCTAATTCTAAAATTAAACTATTTTAAAGTTTTATTTTTTATATAACTCATTAATTAAACGAGTCTAAATATAATATAAAAAATTGACATAATAAGTGTTTGGATTTAAAAAATCAAAATAATTTTTTATTTAATATTAATATATTAAATGTTTTTATAGCTTACTCTATTAAAATAACAATAAGTGTGATAGATTTTATTATATTTAAGAATTTTGTTTTTTAAAATTATTTTTTATTTAATTTTAAATAATTAAAATAAATACTTATAAAATTAAATATAAATCAAGATATTTATTTAAAATTATGATAATTTTTTATTTAAAAATAAAATAAATTATATAAATAAATTAATTAAAAAAAATCACCTTCGCTGATTACATAGTGGAGGGGTGGTGGCGCACCGACTCTTTAGGTAATTATCAGACATATGAGTCTCTTTGCTCACTTTTGTTAATTAGCGTATGGTTAGTCCAATGCTGGGTTTTGGCTACCTTGCTAGCAGCTAATGCATACCATTTTCGTATTTATTTTTTGTGCTAGTATCATAATTGTTAAATTCAATTTGATTTAATAAATAAACTTAAAAATTTAATAACTCAAGATTTAACCTAGGTTAATTTTAAATCAATAAATGAATTAATTTGATTAAATCTAATTGAAATATAATAACATTATGTTAGCTTCTCATTTGATAATAATTTGATTTAAAAAAAAAAATAGGTTCATTAAGTGACTTAAAAGTAGACTTTACAATTTAGTGACTCGGGTTATTTACTTGACCAAACTCAGGTATAACAATAATAGTCTACAGTCGACACACTTTGTAATTTCTTTCACCCTATATTATTCTAGAGAAACCTTAAGCCAACTATAGAACATAGATTTAATGTTTTCATATAATAAATGTTTTTTATACCATCTTAAAAAATCACAACACCTGTAAGTATTCTAGTTGAACAATTCTCGAAACACAATTAGATTGAATTTGATATTTATTAGATAATTTTTCATATCAAAATGTTAAAATCATTAAAAATCATCTAACATAGCATCATATGAAAAATACTTTCAATCATATTATCAAACATATACTATATACAACATGAAAATAAGCTTACCTACCAAGCAAGAAAAACAATTGCTTCTGCAATTTTTGTCACAATTAAAAATAAAATAAATGAAATAGAAAGCATTAGCATCATTTTATGCAACTATTTATTTAATGTTAAAGAAACATAGTTTAAAAATATATAAATTTTACTTTATCTTTGTGATATTTTTGAAGGGCTAGAGAACTCACTTTTTCCTTGACAACATATTTCATTACAAAAAAATAAATAAAAAATCACATATTAAATGTAGAAAAACAATAATTATTCATAATAAATAGGAGAAGAGAGTTAAAATCAATTGAGTATAATAAAATCAACTATATTAAAAGAGTTACAATCAATATAGAGATTTGAAGAATCAATGGACCAAATATGTAGAGTCATAAGCAATCACGAGAGTTTGAACATGAACAAAGAACCAAAAATCTTAGTTCTTTACATATCAAGAACTTTATGTATAATGACTAATAAGAAGTCATAAGATTATCTTAGAATTTATATGATATCAATAGAGAGAGAGTTTATTTTATATTAGAATTCAATAAAATCCCCTTACTTGATACCAATATTTATATAGATTAGTATCTATATATTTAAATATAATTTAAACTTAGTACTAACATATAAATGTCCATATAGTCATTATAAATGATGGCAAGTACCACATATGAAATTTTAGTGCAATTTTATTTATCTTTTTTCTATATAGGGTTTTTATTCCTTTCTTTACAACTTTCTTTATGACTTTCCTTTATTTCTTTCACTTTAATTCATGCAATTTGTCTTGTCTATTTTATAGGCCTAGACCTATTTTTTTTTTT